ACATCTAGGCATGAAAATTGGCATACTTGTTCTCATTTAGGGCAATAGGTCCAGTCTTGAGGGTGGAGCCCTTTCCAGGGTCCCTGCCCTCCTGCCTCCTGTTCATATCAATATTACTATTATTATTTTAGTATCATTTTAGGAAAGAAGAGTCATGGTTAAATTGAAGTCTCTCACACTTTAGACAGATAGATGGTAAACAGCATTAATGAGAAAGGCAGGGGGCATTCCACATGGCTTCTGCTCCCTCACCTGGGATAGATCACAGTGGAATATAAGGGAGAGCCTCTCCCACTGGTAACAATGAAACTGGATCAAATACATTAATCAAATGTTTCCAGGCATGGGATGATAGATAGAGCAATACTGCAAGCCCACAATCATCCCGCCCCTCTGGCTCATGGTCTGGCATAATTTCCTGACCACAGCACAAAAATCTGGAATCAAAACAGAACACAATGGTCCCTTTGAGCTGAGGAGGCAGAGGTCAGTGTTCAACATAAAGTGTCTGAAAGATTTAAAGCAGGGCACCAAGGGAGAGGGAAGCATGGGCAGAATAGGGAAAAATTATCTGATTTCTGTGCCAAGGGCTGTGTTTGCAGGGAGAGACTACTTATGGGTAATCAGAAAGAAGCTATGGGAACAGAGACACTGGTAATCAAGCAGTGACCAAGATCATTAGAGGTCTGGCCTACAAAGAAGAAAAATAATCTCATTAACACCCCACCAGCTCACCTACCAGAGAGAGCGGAAATAAAAGACCATGCCTTAGAGTAAGCCCTACTCTAGAACTATTTTGGGGAAAAAAAGGCTAAAACCAAATCTAAGCAGTACCACAAGAGAAACTGAATTTGATAATTGGGTTTTATTGTATTAAAAGGGTTTGGTAAACATCTTGGGCTTCTCACAAATATGTTCTTAAAAATCTCAAAACCAAGCCAACACAATTTCAAGGTGATTAGCAAGTAAATGATCTCTCTACTGGGAAAGGAAACTCCCAAGTCTTCAGAGATAATAGAAGAATCTCCACAATGATTTATTTATATCAGTAAAAAGAGAGTAGGTACAAAAAACAGAAAAGTGTGTGCCATAGCTAAGGAAAAAAAATCATTAGAAATCAAAAAGTGGGCAAAGGATATGAACAGAAACTTCTCAAAAGAAGACATTTATGTGGCCAACAAACATATGAAAATCAAAACCACACTGAGATACCATCTCACACCAGTTAGGATGGTGATTATTAAAAAGTCAGGAAATGACAGATACTGGAGAGGATTTGGAGAAATAGGAAACTTTTACACTGTTGGTGGGAGGGTAAATTAGTTCAACTATTGGGGAAGACAGTTTGGTGATTCCTCAGGATCTAGAACCAGAAATACCATCTGACCCAGAAATCCCATTACTGGGTATATACCCAAAGGATTATAAATCACTCTACTGTAAAGACACATGCACACATATGTCTATTATGGCACTGTTCACAATAGCAAAGACTTGAAACCAATCCAAATGCCCATCAATGGTAGACTGGGTGGCACATATACACCATGGAATACTAAGAAGCCATAACAAGGATGAGTTATGTCCTTTGCAGGGAAATAGATAAAGCTGGAAACCATCATTCTCAGCAAACTAACATAGGAACATAAAACTGCATACTGCATGTTCTCACTCATAAGTAAGAGCTGGAACACATGGATACAGGGAGGGGAACATCACATACTGGGGCCTGGTGGGGTGTGGGGCTCAAGGGGAGGAATAGCATTAGGAGGAATACCTAACGTAGATGACAGGTGGATGGGTGCAACAAACCACCATGGCACATGTATACCTATGTGACATACCTGCACGTTCCGCACATGTATTCCAGAACTTAAAGTATCATCAAAAAAAGAAATTAGAGAACCAAGAAATAAAATAACTGAAATTTAAAGTTCACTTATTGAGCTTCACAGGAAATTGTAGATAATAGAAGAAACAATTAACTAAATAGATCTGAAGAATAGAGAGTCATAAGACTGAAAAGACATGAACAAAGTCTCCATGACCAGTGCCACTATACTGAGCTGTGCAACGTAAGCGTAACTGGAGTTTCATGGGAAGAAGAGTGAAGATGGGATGGAATACATATTTGAAAAAATAATGCCTAAAAATTTTCTGAATTTGATGAAAAAGATTACATTATAAAGTTCAAGATTATTAATAATTCTTAAGCATTATAAATACAAAGAAAATTATACCTAGGCACAGAATAATCAAATTGCTTTAAAACAGCAATAAAGAGAAAATCTTAAAAGAACAAGAGGATGAAGAAAACATGTTACATACAGGAAACAATGAAAGGACTTACAGCTAACTTTTTATCAGAAACAATAGAAATGAATGGATAATGGAACAACATCTCTGAAGCGCTGAAATTAAAACTGGCAATCCTCTATCCACTGGCATTTCTATGTTCAGTGAAAACATCTTTCTTAAAAAAGTTAAATTATGACATTTTCAGATAAATAAATGCTGCAAAAATTTCTCTTCAGTGGACCTGCATTATAATAAATGCCAAAGAATGCTTTTTGGTTGGAGGAAAATGATATCAGATGAACACTCTTATCTCCAGGAAGAAATGACAAGTATGGTATTGGTAAATAAGTAGGAAACTATAGAAGATTATTTCTTTTCTTATTGTAATTTTCTTAAAGGAAAACTGACTAAAGTAAAAATATTAACAATGCAAACTGGAGTTATAATATGTTTAAACGTGCAAGTTTTGACAGCAATAGCACAGAAGTTAGAGTGAGTAAATGGCCTAATACTGTTGTAATGTTGTTACATTTTGAAGACAGAAGAAGTGAGAAATGAAAAATACAAAGCATCAAGTATGAGATGGGAAGAGAAAAGTTGACAGTAGGGAGTGGAAAAACTTAGGTGTCAAGTATAAAATAAACACAATTGACTCTAAATCATGTATGATACTTAAGGTAAGATATTTGTAGCCCTAGAAAATTACTATGAAATAAAAAGAATTTTAAAGTATAAGTAAGAATCCCATAAAGGAAGGAAATAATATTAAAATATTTTATTTTTCTAATAGGAAACACAGAAATGTGCAGGTTGGAAGAACGTGATAAACAACAAAATGGAATTAAAACAGCCTGACCTGCAATGTGGAAAATTCTACAGGACAAATGACTTGACTTGATTTCTTCAGCAAATAAATGACAATAAATAAAGGAAAGGGGAGCTCTAACAGATTAAAATAAATTTACGAGTTGTGTCAACTAAATGCAAAGCAAAGGAGCTTCCTTTGATCCTTATTGGAAAAGAAAACTGTAAAAATATATTTTGGGGAGGAACAGCAGAAATGAAAAAGGGATTAGTATTAGATAATATTGAGGAATCAGTTATTATTTTGTTTTAGTTTTGTGTGTTTTGAAAGAAGTCTGTGTTGACGCATTTATAGGGGTAAAACTATGTTGTCTAGAATTTGCTTTTAAATATTCTAGCAAAAACATGTGAGAAAAGAGAGATAAAAGCTTAAAAGTGGGACGTTGACTGTTGATGAAATTAAGACATGGGTTACATATGGTCATTTGGCTCCTTTTTAAATTTTGTGACTATTTGAAAATGTGCACAATAAAGAGTTACAAATAATGGAAGGGATTACTGTGTCTCAGAAGTCTGGAGCAGGTTTATCTGGCTTCCCCATATGCAGGTGCAGTGAACCTGACTTGCACTTTAGGGTCTCACACAGTGAGCAGACCCGAGTCCCTGTTGGACACAGGCAGAGCTTCACTTTTTGTTCTTACTCTGACTTTCTCTGCCTAGCCTTGTTGTATGCAAGCTCACATAGGTCCCATTCTAGCCTAGGAAATAGCATCAATCCCGTCTTTTGGCCTCAGTTCAAAACTACCTCCTCCAGCACAATTAACGCAGAACTCTTGACTTCGTAAAATAAAACTGACCCTTAGAATTAAATTTAGCTTGGATCTCTATGATTCTGTCCTATCCGCAGAGCGCTGGAGGGCAGACTGTCATCTGCACCCAACCCACAGCTGTGGGAAGCAGATCAGGTAACAGAATGACAGAAAAGCTTAATCAAGGGGAGGCATTTTTCAGATAATGGAAAATTATGCATGCTCCCAAGCTAAGGTCAATTATCCAGGGTAATAAAAATGTTAAAAATGTGAGAAAGTGAGATTAAGAGTTGGAGCAAGGTCCCTAAGAGAGCAAAATAAAGACCAGAGATACAGTGCAAGAATTCCTACCAGAGGGATGATTTATTTTTCTGTACACTGGTAGGAAGAAGGTTAAAAGATAAAAGAAACTACAGAGATGAGTTGAGAAAGACATGAATGAGGTCGAGGTGGCTTTTCTCTGGTGGGTGAACTCTTTGGAATAAGAAAGAATAAGATGGAGAGAGAAAAAAAGGGATTTGTGCACAAAGCTAGAATAATGACAGCAGTGGAATATGGGCAAGTCTGTCTGCACTTTAATGATAGCCCAGGGGCTGGTCTAGGCATCAGGGAAAAGAAAAAGATCTAGCAGTTCCAAATGGACCTCTGAATACTTCTTGATGCTGTACAGCCAGCGCAGATGAGACAGTCGGGCTCTTCTAGTGAAATAGCTCATTCCACATGTTACAGAAAGGCTCAGAAGAAGATGGCTCCAAAGGTAGGGGTTGCAAAAAGCACCATTGTCCAGAAAAGTTCATATTCAGATCCACTGGCTTCCTCTTCCTTCTCCCAATGTGCTCGAAAGAGGTTCCTGATGAACATCCTCACTTAGATCTAAGTCAGATGTCGTGTTCTAAAAGAACTGGAACATCAGGAAGAATTTTTATGGTACCCTTCCCTCTGAGTAAGTCAACGATTTCATCTTTATTCTATAATATTTTTTCTTAACTTATTTTTGTTCCTAACCACAAAAAAATAAGTTTCATGTAAATATAATAGTGATAAAACTGCATTTTCACAGAAAAATATGACCAAACAGCCTATAACTATAAATAAGTTTATTAATTGTAGCAATATATTTATGAGAGTTTTAAATATCCAGACCAGTTATTTTCTCAGATATTTATACTTACTGATAACGAAGCATACATACAATTCAAAAATACCTTTGGCTATTAAATAGACGCGTTCACTGTAGTCATAAAAGAACAAGAACTCTAAAGAGAATTAATGTTTCCTGGAATATTTTCCCACAAAAATCAAAATAGCATTAGAAATGATTGAACACCCAATACATACGTGATATTTGAAAGTGACTTCTGGTCCTCAAAAGTGTCCCTTCCTTCCCCAGGACATGTTAATTATGATGAATACAATCTGACAATTTTTTAATAAATTCAATAAAAACTTTTTAAGTGCTCTGCAACAATAAAGACAGAATACTCCAAATATGTTGCAGGTACTAATTTCAGCTATTTGCATGGACGTCCTCGAATTATTTCAAAGGTATCTTGCTGGCTTGCAAGTAAAATACAGATCTGGCTAAACCCAGTTTTACAATATTAAATATAAGCTTGAAGAAAACAAATCGTAGAGCTGTGAGATGTAAAAAATAAATATGAAGAAAGATAAAAGTAATGGTTTGAATCGTGTACTAGTTTAATACAAATAGGTCCGGAGTGCGGAGGAGCATGAAATGATGAGTGAAAAGATTGGTTTTCTCCTGTCTTGGCACTCATTTACTGAGCAATCTAGGGCAAGGGTATGAAATTGGTTTCCATGTATGTATAATGGGTTGGTGGGAACAGATGTTCTCTAAGATACCTCTGAGTTCCAGCAGCTTGCAATACCAAGTCTGAATACTTTGCTGCATCCCATTCTTATATCTCTTCAATGGAGGAGCTCAATAAAGAGATTGCAAATGACTAGAAGCCCTTCCCTGGCTTTGGCACATGATTACTTGAATACAGAGTATTTACCAGGAGTTCCATTGAGGGAGACATCCTGAACATCTTAGGAGTGCTAGGTAAAGTATCAGCAAGTATTTATTTTCGGTTAAGTAAATGAAGTATTTCAAGGGTTGTTTGAGTAACTGGTTTTCTTTGCGTGCTCAAGGTCCCTGCTTGCTTTGCATCTCACTATTGAGCAGACAGCCTGCTGGAAGTTGTCACTGACCACCACATACAGTAGCAGGTTACCAAAGGTGTTCAGAGCAGCTAATGGTCTTGAAACGATGTAAGCTTCGTGGATCTGATTCTCAATGGAACAGCTGATGGAAAGCAGGCGAGATTCTATCCGAATTATCCTCAAGATATGAAAGGGTAACAAACATACGTAAAATACGAGGAGTAGCAGAATGGCTAGCCTTCGAGCTTTCTGCTTAAGGCAGCTGTGAGTTTGTAGTCCATGGGTCAGAGTGTGGATAATTGTGGTATAGCAAAGTGTCACTATCACCAAAGGGAGGCAGAAGGTGGTTGCAGTCAAGATTACGTTGTACCATTTAATAGTACTGAGTTCATCTGAACTGGTGAGATCAAGACAGGCTGATCTGTTGGTCCTGTTGGTTGATGTGATCAAGAAGGTCATGGGAATCACAGCTACCAGTGAAATGATCCACACCACACCACAGGATACCACTGCCCATCGAATTTTGTGAATGGAAAAGCAGCTCATGGGGTGAATGATCACACAGTAGCGAAAGATGCTGAAGCAGGTGAGGAAGAGGATGCTGCTGTACAGGTTGAAATGGAAGCCAAAGCGGATAAACTTACACATGAAATCTCCAAATATCCAGTTTTCACCATTGGCATAGTAGTGAATCAGGAAGGGGAGGCTGGTCAGATACAGCAGATCTGTGCAGGCCAGGTTCAGCATAATGATGGTGCTGCTCTTCCAGGGTCGCATTTTGAAAATGTAAGTGGAAATCGCTACTGCATTCCCTGGAAATCCCACGAGGAAGATAATGCCGTAAATAACAGGGAGGTAGTGCATCTTGAGTGAGATGTTTTCGTCAGTGCAATTTCCAAAAGCGGCTGCATAATCGGGGAAATCAGAAGCATTTGCTAAATTATCTAGTGGCTTATTCATGGTTGCCTCCTTGCATCTTGCAGAAAAAGAAGAGAGTTCAGTTTGGCAATACGAATTGAATGAGAAGTAACTCGCTGATAAAGGAAAACAGAAAACATTAATGGTAGGGTAATAAAAACAAGGATCTACTTTTAAATGAAAATTGTTCTAACATCCTATATTTGCCACTTCTCTCTCTCTCTTTAATCTCAAAAGAGACCCTGTAGAGAATAAATTGAATTTCCAAGAAAATGACTGAGGCTAGTTACTAAATGCATCTAATAAAAATACAAAAGTTAAATTATCATGAGAATTAAAATGAAGTATTGGAAGAAAACAAGCCACGTGTAGCTTTGGAAAACAATTTGGCAAGGTTGCCATTTGGGCAAGCCATAGGGTATCGCCATTAGAGACTTAGCAACAGGACCTGCTATTAACACGTGTGATGCACGCCACCATCACTTCACTTCTACACAACACAAAATATTGAAAAGTCTTCTTATTACCTCTATTTTACAAGACACTGAGAAATGTTTTGTAGCTGATCTCTGGTAACACATCCAGTGGCTTAAATGGGATCCACACCCATGTTTGTCTGACTCAGAAGACACTCTCTTTCTACATGACCTCTCAGTACTGCCTCTCAATCTGTGTTTTGTTGATTTTCATCAGGATTGCCCTAAATAATGGAGGGAACTAGTGTGAAGACAGGAAAACACTGAATACTGTAAATTTAAAAAATATAGATTGCATACATTGCAACATTTAATTGCACATTTCCGTTCTTACGATTTCTTTTAATAGGTCACATAATTTGCTTGTGCAGGGGAGTGTGTTAGGGTGGAGGGGCTGGGTCAGTGGTATAATGCAACCGTTAAGAGCCTGCGCTCTGAAGCCAGATGGCCAGATTTTGATGCTCAGGTTAGACATTCAGTACCGTGTCCCTAAGCACGTTGATTAAGCTCTCTGGGGCTGGAAGGAGTGCAATTTTCACTTCCTTCTTCTTGCTTATTAGTGTTTTCAAAAATTTTGATGGTGAATTTTTGCAATGAGAAAAATACTTCTAGAAAAGAGTTACAATTAGCTTATTATTTGAATGTAAATGGCTGTTGGTAAAATGCATCCAAGTACACATTTATGGAGCACCCACTGTGTATTAGGTCCTCTGTCAAGTCCTAGCAGTAGAAACTGAATAACATACCCAGATGTATAAGTCACTGTCACAATCTACTGGGGGAATTGGACATGGAAAATTATTTTAACAAAATATAAACCCACCTCATGGAGCTGTCAATATTAAGTTAAAAATAGGAAGAAAACACTTGGCATACTACTGGGCACATAAGAAGAGCTTAATAAATGCTAGCTGATGTTAGTTGCTGAGTCATTTGATGTAGGAATGGTACAAGACTACAGAGATCACAAGGAAAGGAGGAAACATCAGAGTTTGCCACCGTTATTACCATAATCAGATACTAAATCTACACTATCCAGCATTTCCTGAGAGGAGTACAGAGGTATATTTCAAACTAGCCCAACTTAACAAATCCTAAATTAGCAGAATCGGTCGCTGTTGACTGCCCTTGAGTGTTTTCATCCAGATCTCACTTAGTCCAGGAGGTCTGGGAAAGTTGTAATGAACTCAGCATGGTTATGGGACATTGGGAGATAAAGTTGAGAAGGAAAAATAAGAATTCATAAAAAAATAATAGTACAAAGCACTACTGTAAGTGACTTACATATTTAAATCTATTCAATCTTCATAACCAGGCGGGCGCAGTGGCTCACGCCTACAATCCCAGCACTTTGGGAGGCCAAGGTGGGTGGATCACAAAGTCAAGAGATCGAGACCATCCTGGTCAACAAGGTGAAACCCTGTCTCTACTAAAAATACAAAAATTAGCTGGGCATGGTGGTGTGCACCTGTAGCCCAGCTACTCAGGAGGCTGAGGCAGGAGAATTGCTTGAACCCGGAAGGCGGAGGTTGCAGTGAGCCGAGATCGTGCCATTGCACTCCAGTCTGGGTAACAACAGCGAAACTCCATCTCAAAAAAAAAAAAAAAAAATCTTCACAACCAATGGTGAGGTAGTGCTGTGATAGTTCCCCTTTAACAGAAGAAGAAACTGAGGCACATAGGAGGCAGTGATGTGCTCAAGGCCAAACGGCTAGTTAGGGTGAGCCGGGATGTGATGGGGGTGGTCTTGTTACTGGTCTGGGCTGCATCTTACAATGAGTAGGCAAGAGAGAAATCTGAAGGGCCTGTAATCACAAAGACCACTTAGCACATGACCTCTCAGTGCTGCCTCTTAATGTGTATTTTGTTGATTTTCATCAGGATTACCCTAAATAACTGAGGGAATAACAAGTGTGAAGAAAGAAAAAGGCTGAATATTTCAGAAAGCTCAATAAATCAAACACTGTAGAGCTATCCCTTGGTATCTGCAGTGAATTAGTTCCTGGACCCCCAAGGATACCAAAATCTGCATATGCTCACATCCCTGATATAAAAGTAAAATGGCATGGTATTTGCACGTAACCTATGTCCATCCTCCTGTATACTTTAAAATGTCTCTAGATTACTTATAATACCTAATGCAACATAGATGCTGTATAAATAGTGATCATACTATATTGTTTATGGAATAATGGCAAGAAAAAAGTCTGTACATGTTTATTACCGACATGTTTTTTTAAAAAGTATTCTCAATCCACAATGGTTGAATCCACCAGTGCAGAACCCATGTATATGGAAGGCCAGCTGTAACTGTGTGAACTAGAATTAAATTGAGAGAAGACTAAATGATTTGTCAAATAATCTCAACTTTTATTTTAGATTCAAGGAGTGCGCATGCAGGTTTGTTAGCTGCATCTATTAAATGGTGCTGAGGTTTGGGGGTTTGACTAATCCTGTCACCCAGATACTAAACAAAGTGTTTAAAAGGGTGCATGGATCATGCTAAGTGCTACATCAGAATCTGCCACCATTATAACCTATTCTCTGATACCAAATCTACACTATGCAGCATTTCCTGAGAGGAGTGCAGAGGTGTATTTCAAACTAGCCCAATTTAACAAATCCTTGACTGCCCTTGAATATTCTCTTTCAGATCTCACTTAGTCCAGGTGCAGATCAGAATGCATTTACAGGTTTGCTACTTTTATTCTGTATGAACTGGGGAAGGAATAGTCCAGGACATAGAACTTGCCTCTGGGCAGCTGTTAGGTCCTTAACCGGAGAGGCTGGTGCTTCCCGGGACCATGTATTACCCATCAAAAGTGAATGCTTCTCTCCTTGCCAAGTTAATTGACTCTAATTAAAAGTGCTATTCAACTGTCATCTACACAGCACTGGCGGTCACAGGAGTCAGGGACTGCTGACCAGTGAGAGTGCTCTGAAGCCAGGCAACCACACTGGACGGCTTCTCCCTTGGCAGCATGTCTTAAATGGACTCATGCATAAGGAGCAGGAAGTCACTTAAACTTGAAAGGAAATGGTCACAGCCAAGGAGTCCCAGAAGCAGCACATCCCAAAGACAGTTCTTAAATTACATCGAGAGGCCACTAAGTAGCTCATTTTGTTTCTGGAGCAAAGAAGTAAAGATAGTTTTAGTAACACTCAAAATAATTCTCTGGAGTTATTTCATTCGAATCGGGATTTGCCTTAACAGAGAAGTGAGAGGAAGAGAAGGGGAGGGAATTCAAGTCCGAGCTGCGTATCTGTCAGCTCCTTGAAAGCAAAAGCACAATTCATCTCACACCCCAGGGGCTGGTACACAGAAGGTATGCAGTAAATATTAATTTTTGCTGAATGCATTAAAGAACAACCAGTAACATCAGTAAAACTTATATGGTACTGAGGGGCTAGTAAAGTGGCAACTATCATTTAAAAAAAAAAGCTTGGGCCAGGCATGGTGGCTTACACCTATAATCCTAACACTTTGGGAGGCCAAGGCGGCTGGATCACAAGGTCAGGAGATTGAGACCATTTTGGCTAACATGGTGAAACCCCATCTCTACTAAAAATCCAAAAAGTAGCTGGGCTTGGCTTGTGCCTGTAGTCCCAGCTACTTGGGAGCCTGAGGCACAAGAATCACTTGAACCTGGGAGGCATAGGTTGCAGTAAGCTGAGATTGCCCTACTGTGCTCCAGCCTGAGTGACAGAGCAAGACTCTCAAAAAAAAAAAAAACTTGGTTCCTTGATGACTTCAAACAAGAAGCAAAGTGACAATTCCTGTCATTGCCAAATAAACCCTTAGCCATGTTATGGAGGCCATTTTAAACAATAATTCAATCAGTAAAATATAGATTATAGGTAGAAACAACTGCCTTATTGTTGTGAAAAAATAACAGTTAAATTTAGGATTGAATGAAGACTGACTAGCCAACTGTAAGGGTGGAGGGGTTGACTGGGAAGCTTAGTCTCTCTTCCATAAAACCTCATAAAAGTATAGTCTGAGTTTACAAAACATGTGTGATGTTAAGAACAGCACACAAAAACCGGTCTGGGCTGTGAGCAGGTAGGATGAAGCTGTTTCTTTCCTCCCTAACCTCAGGGTCTGGTGCAGTTCACTGCCACAACTCAGAACACCAGATGGTCCACAAACAAATCATTTAAGCTCAAAGGACTTAAAGACAAACGCGGCACAACCCTGCTTTATTCCCTTCTCTTAATACAACAGTAGTTCTCAAATGAGAGGAGCTTACAAATCACCTGAAACTAATGGGCTCTTTGCCAGCAAGAAATAATGATGAATGAAGTTTCAGCATAACCAAAATGTAAGTGTGAACTAAGCTAGGTTCAGCATGCCTAAAAGCAAGCATCAAAGCTTGGGATAAACTTGAGAAAAAAAAAAGCTCATAATTTAAGTACAACCACTATGGAGAAGAGTTTGGAGGTTCCTCAGCAAACTAAAAACTGAGTTACCATATGAGCCAGCATTTCCACAGCTGGGTATATACCCAAAAGAAAGGAAATCAGCATATCAAAGAGATATCTGCACTCCCATGTTTGTTGCAGCTCTGTTAACAATAGCCAAGATTTGCAAGCAACCTAAG